AAATTATATTTTTTATTTATAATAAATAATTATATGACAATATAAAATTATTCTTAATTACTGATAATTTATTTTAAAAATATTAAAATTTTAATTTATAAAATATAATAAATAAAAATTGAATTAGATAAGAAATTAAGAAAATTTTTAAAAACATTCCTGTTAAAATATAACTTTTAAAGATGCTTTTACGTAAAATAGTATTTACGTTTAATATATAAATGTTTATTTAACATTACATAACGAGATAAACCTTATACATTTAAATTTCAACTTTTGAAATAAGATAAAGATCATGAAGGTATGATTGGATCCTTTGACTTTTGTAAAAATATGATAAGATCATTTCGTTTTTGTTGAAATTTCAAGAACGTCAATTTTCCTTAGGCGCATTACGTAAATAAGTGAAAAAAATGTAATGAAGAAAATAAAAAAAATCAACTATTAAAAACATTATATATAAGTAATATTTTTAAAAAATTATAATATAATTACTTTCTAAATCGATTTTATTTTTATATTTTTTTTTTCATATTTTAAAATAAAGAGAGAAAACATGTCTGATATGTGATATTTCTTGTTTACCAAGCGTATCCTTTAATTTTCTTTGTGTTAGCTTACAATTATCATATTTGATAAAACAAAATATAATTTAATCAATTAATTAATTAAAACACATATAATTAAAACAACTCAATGATTTCTCAAAAAGCCCTCTTTAATTAATTAAAAACAATCATAATTATTTATAAATTGTCTACATTATTTTATAAAAATTGCTTTATTTATTAAAACATCATTTTAATTATTTTAAAAAACCTAAGATGTTACACATAAAATCACAATTTTGTAGTAGTGAGAAGTTGAGTTTGATAGTTTTTGGTTGACACATTCGTAGCCATGCATTGCATTCCTGTCAAAATTTCAATCTTATGAAAATTCCAAGAGGAAATATAGTCAAACACTCAAACAAGAGCAACAAACAATATTGATGAAAATGAAAGCAACAAAAGAAAACCCTAGGGTCAATATTCAATAACGTACACAAATCTCAACTTAATGCAAATTTTTTATCCTAATTGTTTGAAGAGAAGGTATCTCTACCTTTACTTCTAGAGAATGAAAGAAATACGTGGCAACACACACTTATATAACTAGCTACAAATTGACTATAAATGAAATTATTTTAGATTGTTTAGTTGATGATGAGTAGAAATATTTAATTAATATAGATTGCATCATGTATGCATCAATTAGTCTATATATGCTACCGTGTTTACTATTTACTACAACACCTAATAATCACGTATCTATCAGTGTTTATTATTATTTCTTTAATCAAAATTATAATCATAGTACCAAAGACTTTGTGTATTGTATATTGTATATCTAATAGTATCTCATTATTTATGATAAATCTATTTTTTATATTTTTTTTGTCTTATTATGTATTGATTGATGTTTATTATGATACTAGTAGCAATTGTTAAACACGGGTATATTTTATTTTTATTTTTTTTAACAATCTTGGTCGTACTAAAATAAATTTATGATTTCATATATACTATTATTGCAATATCATTCATTACTAGATTGATTTTAGTGTTTCTATACAAATAGGGATATAAATAAAACATTTAATAAAATTTGAAACTTATATTGCTCTTCAAATTATTTTTGTTCACTCAAAATAGTAAAAGTTGAAGAGTGACTATATCTTTTATTTTACCTTACAAAAAAGTATATTAAATTAAAATGAAGATACTAATAAAAAATTTAAATAAAGATGAATAATAAAAAATATAAAAGTGTGAAATAAGTTGAGGTTTATTTAGTATTTGGTTGAATTATGAAATAAAGTTGATTGAATTAATTCTTAGATTGTAAACAAGTACTGTGAATAAAAAATGTATAAAAATTATTTTTAAAAGCTCATAAAAATTGCTTTTTCTTTTTTTTCTTTTTTTTCTCTCATAGAAATAATTGGTTATAAACAACTGAAGAGAGTCAAAAGCTCACATAGAGAGAGTATACACAGAAATATTATATTATTAACTAAAGGATAAGCCATGAACACAAGTATGGGTATAAATATAGTTACATATAATTAGAAGAAAACAAATGCTTATACAATAAAAAAAATATAAAATTCCAATACAGAATGAACAAGAGCATACAGAAAAAATGAAATACATGTTAACTCGGGTCAACATGCATGCACTGTGTGAATATTGAGCTATTTTTTATATTTATTTTTTATTCAAGAATAACTTGACGTGAAAAAGATAGAATGTTGAACAATGTTATAAAAAAATATATATATATATTGAAACAGTGAACATGCTATGGCTATTTTGTCAACAACCGAATTATACGTTTCGTAAATATTAGATCGACAACCATTTATAATTAAGCAGCGTTATCCTACCAAAATTTTTAAGAATACATAGAATAGGAAACGTGTTTTTTCATGTTTATTATAAAATTATATATTTTATTTGAATAGAGTGAAATAATTTTTATATTCTCATTTTTTATTTTTAAGAGAGGAGGAGGGTAAGATGATTTCAATGACGTGATAATTAAAGTTTTTATTTTTATTTATTTTAATTTTCTTTGTATCCATTTTCATTAAAAAATAATAATAAAACATATTATTTTAATATATATGAGAATGTCATTCTCATCATAATATTCCAAGGAATATTATTTCTAGGAATAGAAGTTGATAACATGAAACAAAATCATTTAAGAGTAAGACATGTTTATACACCCTCCATTTTAAAGATTTATATTAAATTTTACATGTACATTCAGTAACTTTTTGTATAATGTAAATTATATCAAATTTTACATAATTTTAAAGTTATTTAATAATTTATCACATTATTTTATTTTTATTTTTTTATAAAGATAAGAAATATTACAAAGATGGTCGTAATGAAGATTAAACTTATAAGGTCCTCATACAATTGTAACTATCCCAACCCTCTTCACCCAATCACTAGACTAATCATAGCGATTATACATTACTTTATTTTAACATATAATAGTATAATATGATATTTAAAATATATATATATATATATATATATATATATATAAATAACACATCTAAAAAAGTTCAAATAATTAAAATTTGACATATACTATCATTAGTATAATATGACATAATTAAAAAAAATCGCATTATATAAAAATTATTAAAGGTAAAAATTATTAAAAGTATAAGATTTGACGTAAATTTTTATAGTTACACCTAATGTCAACTAATACTAATCAAAGTCAATCTTGAATTTTTTGGGTGTTCTAAATGAAGTAAAAAAAATAATATCTTAATAAATATTTGAATATTACTTATAACCCTAATCCTCAAACTTAAAAGTATAAACATACAAACCAATAAATATCCGGTTGTATAAAAATTAACTAAATGTACCAAACATTTGCACGAAAGTAGGATCAATAATGATACATCACAAAGAAATTGAAAATGATGAAGATTTATAATTTAATTTTGATATTCTAACGAAACTAAATCTTAGATAGGTAATGATTTAAAACAAAAAATAAAAAATAATGATAAAAAAAATTAAAGTTAACTCTTATTTATAATTTTATAGTAATACTTATAAAAGTTTACACTTTTTAAAAATTATTGTTAATTTTTCGTTGACTAGTAAAAAAATTGATTATTAATTTTAATTTATTTATTTTCTCTAATAAATTTAATAATTTAATTATATAATTTTTTATATTATATAGAATAAAACTTTTTATACCTTTTCAATAATGGAAATTTTGACGATCATCCTAGTCCCGTACTCAACACCGCCATTAATACTAATTTTATAATTAAATTGTGAGGTTTTCTGTCCAAAATAAATAAATAAATTGTGAAGTTGGAGATACAAATCTGTATGCATGTGCTAATTAATAATTAATATTAACTGCGTCTCAAAATACACGCTTCTCATTATTTTTTCTATAAGAATTAAATTAAAAAATTTACTTGTTGCTTATATATATATATATATATATATTTCGAGGAACAAACTAAATTTCTTTAAATATTAATTATATTTTTATACAAATCAATTTTTATATATTAAATATGAATCGAAAATATTTTTAAATTTTTTTTAACGAAAGTAGTTTAATTTTGTATCTAATTTAATTTTTATTTATCATACTTATTTATAAATTAAATTTTAATATTTTAAAATTAATTATTAATAAATAAAATGATATTATACTACAATATAAATTATATATCATAAATCTAAAATATAATTTATATACCTAAAATTATTTATTTATACAAATTTTTAATTTATATATTGAAATATAATATTTATTTATATATTTAATTTATTATAAATTTTAATTACATATAATGATATAATACATATTTATTTATAAATTATATGGACTAAAATACTAGTATCATTAAATGTGAGTTAGTTTCTAACGTTCAATAAATAGTAGTATTTCTTCTGAAAAAAAAAAGTAGTATTTTGAGATTTGAGATTCAAATTTGATTTTCAATAATTATTGACAATTTAAAATAAACAAAAATAACTGTATATTATGCTGATAAAAAATATATTTTTTTAAAAAAATAGTCTGTAAATTATGTCGATCAAGAATCTTGGCAAATTAAATATTAACAGAACCATATCCATGTCATGTAAGTCTTAATGATTTTAGTTACATACTTTGTTGTATTATGTGACAAATTATCAATGATATGAATTAAGTCTCTCTTTTTTCATTAAAAAGAAAATACCATATCCATGAACTATCGTTATTGCGTGCATTTTTAGCATAATTGTCACTTCTTTCTATTGAGTTTTACTTACTTTTTTATATAATTTTTTTTCCTGTGTCTTTTGAATTTTATAAATTAATTTTTAATTAGCAGTTTAATTTAAAGGTTTTATTTTTATTTACTTCTTATTTCCCAAGCAGCCATATTGGAATATTAAATTCCAAGACTTGAACAAAGTCTATTGCGGTTGCTATTGACAAAATAGCAGGTTCATGTTCTCTACTTCAATGATATATCTTTTCATGGTGTTTCAGATATGCATGCATATATGTTTGATTGGATACAGTTAAGAAACGTCTTTTGAAAGTTGTTCTATTAAAAAGTATTCTTTATATCTTAGAAAAATGTTTTTAACCATTCAAACAGGTAATACATATATATATATGAATTATGAAACAAGAAGTGAATCAACTAAAGGTTGAGAAGTAAACATGGAGTTGGGTTATTGTGCAGTGTTTCTGATACTGTTCCTTTCAACTTCATCATGTGAAGCTTCTACCTCGGTTGAGAAACAGTTGAATTTCAAGGAATGCTTGTTAACCCACCTTGATGGAAATTCTGAATCCATTGAAAAAATAATCTTCACCTCATCCTCCTCACTATACCCCAAAGTCTTGGATTCATTGGAACAAAACCCTAGATGGCTGAATTCCTCAAGGAAGCCTCTTGTAATTCTAACACCTTTCCATGAATCAGAGGTTCAAGCAGCCATCCAATGCAGCAAAGAGCATGGGCTCCAACTCAGAGTCAGAAGTGGTGGCCATGACTATGAAGGGCTATCATACCTTAGTAAGGTCCCATTTGTGATGGTTGACCTCATCAACATATGTTCCATTCATATTAACCTTGATGATGAAACAGCTTGGGTTCAGGCTGGGGCATCATTGGGTGAACTTTACTACAAAATTTCACAAGCAAGTAAAGTGCATGGATTCAGTGCAGGAACCTGTCCAAGCATAGGGATTGGAGGGCACATCAGTGGAGGGGGGCAGGGTACCTTGATGAGGAAACATGGCCTGGCAGCAGACCATGTTCTTGATGCTTACCTCATAGATGCAAATGGGAAGATTCATGATAGAAAATCAATGGGAGAAGATGTTTTTTGGGCCATAAGAGGAGGTAGTGCTACTAGCTTTGGAGTCATTCTTGCATGGAAGATCAGTTTGGTTAGAGTTCCACCAATTGTTACAGTGTTCAATGTTCAGAGAACACTGGAGGAAGGAGCCACCGATCTTATTCACAAGTGGCAATACATAGCACCAGAATTGCATGAGGGTCTTTTCATTAGAGTATTTGTTGAAAATAGTGGTGACAAATCAAAGAAATTCCAAGCAACCTTCAACTCTGTCTTTCTTGGAGGAATAGACAAGTTGATCCCACTGATGAATGAGAGCTTCCCTGAATTGGGGTTGCAGGCCAAAGACTGCACTGAAATGAGTTGGATCCAATCAGTTATGTACATTGCTGGATACAACAAAGATGACCCTCTAGAACTCTTGCTTAATAGAACAACCATGTTTAAAAGCTCTTTCAAGGCCAAGTCTGACTTTGTAAATGAGCCAATACCAAAATCTGGTTTAGAAGGAGCTTGGAAAATGATTCTAGAAGAAGACACACTAGCCGTGGTAATATTGGATCCCTATGGTGGAAGAATGAGCGAAATTTCAGAATCTGAAATCCCTTTTCCCCACAGAAAGGGCAACTTGTACAACATACAATACTTGGTCAGTTGGGAAGAGAATAGCATTGAAGCATCTAAGAGGCATCTACATTGGGCTAAAATGATTTACAGATACATGACTCCTTATGTTACAAAATCTCCAAGAGCTGCCTATTTCAACTACAAGGATCTTGATTTAGGCAAAAACAAGCATGAAAACACAAGCTACTCAAAAGCTAGTGTTTGGGGGGAGAAGTACTTCAAAGGAAATTTTAGAAAATTGGCACAAATTAAGACAAAGTTTGACCCTCAAAACTTTTTCAGGAATGAACAGAGCATTCCTCTCCTAAATTCCAATCATTATTAACATAAAGGGCATGACATTATTTGGAGCACCTAAAACATTTGTGTAGTGCTACATTATTATGTTAATCTTCCGCTTTGTAATTGTGTGATTGTTATAGACCAAACCTGGAATGGTGTGCTGCATTTGCATACACTTCAAAGTTAGGGGATCAAATTCAAAATGGATATGATGTATTTTCTTAATGGATGTGGACTAGTCACTCGTGTAACATTCCATGAAGTTACAAAATGTTATAAGAATGTACACTTCCTAGACAGAACCGCTCATAAATCAACACAAGTTTTAGTGAAAGTGAGATATAGATTCGTGCTTCACAGACCCTATCTTAAACTAATACAAGGGTTTTTAGTATAATTGTTACAACATGGGTAGAATATGACAGAGATAAGAAGATATGACGATTTCTTGAAATTTAGGGTCCTATATGTTAATAAAAGTTTATTTAGATGTAGAATTCTTGTTAAAGAAAGAGACTTTGACCATTTCTCGTTAATTTTTAAATATGATGTTCACAATTTATAAAATGATAGTTGTGATCATAAGAAAAAATATTGTTTTCGCTCTTATCATAATTAGTCATAACTAATGTGTCAATAAAAGTATGGTTGATAACATTCAGATACCAACTACTAAAGTATATTGCGACTATCAAAGTGTATTGCGAATTGTGACTATGATCTTATAACTTTGTCTCTCCTTTTTTTTATATCATCTTTCACAAACTAAACTCGAAGGTTAAAGTACACACAAATCAAATTTCTTGTCACTTTTTGATCCATTTTGTTTTTCTTCAAAAAAAAAATAAACAAATAAAAGAGCATGTACTTCGATCTCTCTCGCAACATGACAAGAAAGATGACTACACAAAAAGCTTAAGATAATCATTTTAGATGTGTATATAGAAGTATCCAAAAAATTTCCTTAAAAGTTAAATATAAAAGAATATTCGATATTTTTTTTGGATACATATCGAGAAGTATCCAAGGATTATTAATGTTTGACATGAATATGACACCGATATTTTTTATTTATGGTTATTCAAGCTTCATAGATTTTAATCAAGTTTGTCCTTCAACAGAAAGTCACGCTCCACTTACCGCTTGGCAATGAGGCGTTGTTACTCCTCCAAGACAATCTTTTGCTATTAGCACTAGTAGAAATTCAGTCTTTTACATCACTTTTTTGTGTTAGACATACCAAAAATTGACGTAAAAAAGATGTGATGACATTTTTGTGATTTTTGTGAACTCTTTTACGTTGGACATAATTGGGGTCCGACGTAAAATTTAAAATCTATGTCGGATGTATCTTGTGTCCGACGTAGATTTTACATTTTACGTCGGACTCCTATTAAGTCCGACGTAAAAAAGGTTTGTATACGCTTTGTGTTTTTGACATTGCAGGCAAAGGTGCTTGACCAGCATGTTGAAGAATTAGATCAGTGATGCAAATTTCACTGCCAAGGCCAACTTCAAAACTCGTTGATGAAGACTTGTATAAGATCTCACCGGGGCTTCTTTATGCCGAAGCTAAAAAGGTCCAACCCCACACACACCTTTTACTTCTCTCTTCCCGCGCACTATTTGTAAATAATAGAGTTAAAGGGTTTCTTCTGCACGTTTCTCACTAGCATCCTGAGTTTCTGACTAGCATCTTGACTTGCATTAGGCGCACGTTTGAGATTAGTTTCAAAAATCCTGACTTGCATTAGCTAATTTGTTGATTTTGCATCTGGAACGATCTGTTCTGCAACCAGAACGGCTTGTTCTGCTTACAGTCTTTGTGTGTTAATTGTCCATCTAGAACGGCCCGTTCTGCAACCAGAATAGGTCGTTCCAGATGGACAATTAACACACAATGACTGCAAGCAGAACGGGCTGTTCTAGTTGCAGAACGGGTCGTTCCAAATGCATTAAATTTGTGTTATCACAATTTTACGTCGATTCTTGGCAATGTCCGACGTATATTTATGTCGGCCATTACAACCGACGTAAATTTACGTCTCCTGCATCGACGTCGAAGTTTTTTAAGACATAAAAATTCTAAAATAACCGACATAGAATATACATTCTGTACTAGTATGGTGAAGGCAAACGAGTACTATATGTTGAAGAATTTTGTTATAATTTTAAATTTAATTAAATGTTTTTATTTAATTACTTGTCTGTTACAATGTTTTATTAAATTGGTTTTATGTCTTTGATATTTTTAATTATTTTAATTAACATTTTAATAAGATTAAGTAATTATGTTGTTAATCTTTTACTTAATCTTTTTTTTTTTCACATTAGAAACAATGTACTTTACAAATTTGTTATTTGATTACTTATATGTTAGGTGGATTTTGGTCATTTTGTGGTTATAAATTTATCTATTGGTTATTAGATATCTCTCTTTTTAAGAGAAATATTTTTTATTGTTAAATATATTACAGGTTGTTGTACCGTACATTACAAATTAATCTATATAATAAGCCATTTTTTTATAAGGATAACATATAACGTGTTTTAACCTAAATTTTTTTGCACTATTTATCTTATTTTATTTTTTTATTATTTTAATTTATTATTTATTGATATTTATCTTGATGTAATTTCATAAATAAATAATATATCTTTTATTTATTATTTACATAGTTCTAACAATCTTAAAGAGAAAATTTGATTCTAAGTCATAATCCTCTTTTATAAAATTTATTTATGATAGAAATAGATAATATACTTTAGATGTTGCTTATATAAGGTTGAATTATTATTTACTAAACTTTGTTTCGTTATGGCAGAAAATGAACATCAGTGTTCATAAACTATTTTGGAGAAACTAATTTGTGTAATCATATTGAAAATGTAGAGATGGGAATAGAGAACAACAATATGATGAACATGATCGATTATATGATTAAATAGTAATGAAAAATTATGAGATTTAAATAAATATTTTATCATTTAATTTTTTTTAATCTTTTTATATTTTTTGAAATTTTATAAAGAGGTGATTGAAATATCCTTTCTATTCCTATAAACATTTTTTTGCCTATAAAGTAAAATATAAAAATTTAATTGCACCGGCAAGCTCTGTTGAAAGTCTTGCACGAAGCATACGTGTCGCACACTATCTCCCAAGACAAATTTGCGGGGATTGTTAGTCACATCACGGCTAATGATCACCTCACTTTCACCGATGAAGAAATCCCCGCTGAGG